GGTAAGAGATTTATCCAAACCTGCCTCCCCGAGAAACTAAGCAACATTGCAAAAGGTTTTTGTTCAGAATCCTGACGCCAGGATCTAGCCAGTGAAATGCTAACCTGGCAGTCAGTGGCTTGTGCTTCTGCATGTCGTCCTGTGGGCTTTTTTAGATCTGGAAATTGAAAGCATGTGATTTCAAAAAGCAGCAGCTAATCTCTGTAAGCAAAGAGATGTGTCTATTTTTCCTTTGACTCCAGGAACCCTTGCCTGCTCCAGAAGCTCTGGTTACACAATTCCTACCTGACAGTTAAGACTTAACAAAACTAAGGGCCAGCCCATGGCTCACTTGGGAGAGTGTCGTGCTGATAACACCAAGGCCACGGGTTCAGATCCCTATATAGGGGTGGCCGGTTAGCTTGTTAAGGGACGCGCCAGCCCCTACTGACCTTAACATATGCATTCTGCTTCTGTACAAATCGCTTGCTAAAATAAATGGGGGAATAAACAAAGTAGCATAACCAACGCCATTTTAGGCTGCTCCGCCATTTTAGGCTGGAAAGTCCTTATGGGGAATCCAGGGTGGGGTGGGGCTACAGGGCTAACCGCAAAATTAGCTTATGTTCCGCTGGCTTGTTTGCATTGGCTAGATTGTGTCAGGCGCGAAAAATTCCCACCTAGATAAAACTAAAAGCTGCGAGAGGTTTCGACTCGGGGCTGCGCTCCCGGATTGGCCTGCATAGTCCTGGCTGCCAGAAATAAACTCTCTTCCTTTTCCTATCACCCAGTTCTCGTGCGCAAATTTCTTTTACCCGTAGGACGTTGGCCATAACAAGCTCACTTGAGAGAGCGCGGTGCTGACAACACCAAGGGTTAAGATCCCCTTACCGGTCTTCTGAAACTATTGAGACCTGCAGAATGCAGAAAAATCCAGTAGCTTTTCTTCTCCAAGAGTCAGAAAGTTGTATAAACATCTAGGGCTGACCCCATGGCCAATAGAACTGGTTTAACCAGATGCTTATGCCGAACAGAAGGCTAGTCTGGGTGACCTACACTGCGTTTTATTTCAGGCTTTGGGAACAATCCAGAAAACTCTCCTAACCTTCAAGTATTTGTTTTAAATTGTGGTACTTAAATGTAATCAGAAACTGCATTTAAACCAATGTACTAGTTTAAACCTGTATTGCTAGCGCTCTGGCATAGCTTCTAAGCAATTTAACGTCCAGCTATGCTTGCTATCCATGCTGTCTGTAAGGAGTTGGAAATGCATAGTTCTCTGAATCTCTAGCTAAAATGCTGTTCCTCTACTGGGACAGCATCTCCTTAGTATGTCTTGAGGGAAAATATTACCTTTATTTGAAGTTTCAAAAGTGTGTGGCTCAGGATAAGTTGTTATCATTGATGCAGAAATCCCAATTTTTCCATGCTGCTCTGGACACCTTCCAGTTTTTCCTCCAGATCTAGTCTCCATCTTTCCCCCTGCTTTGTGCTTTGGGAGTCTGACCTTTACAGGCAGCATTGACAGCCACCTCCACTTCTCATTTCCTTTGCTTTTTGCCAATAGGAAGACACTCACAGAAGAGAGAGCAGAGGGCCACAGAGGAGGGCGAGCTTTGAGTATCCCCCAGCTTCTGCCCTGTGGTCTTGTCATGGTTGGCTGAGGACCTGTACTGAAGGCCCTGGCTCTTCTATATGATTACTCTCTTTGGGTTCCAGAAACCGCTGTCTCCCCTAGACCCTGTAGACCTAGGGGTGGAAATGGCTCTCTGATCTTCATAGCCCCCAGGTAATACATGTTCCCTGAGCTTTGCCCACAACCTGGCAAATAGTTCCTTTATGAAACACCCTTCAATTATCCCTCTTAAGTGTGTCATCTATTTCCTGCCAAGATCCTGAATGTTACAAGTGATCTCATTTAATTCTTACTGCAACCCAGAAGAGATATGTATTATTATTTATTTTGGGCAACTGGCTGGTTTGGGGATCCAGACCTTTGACCTTGGTGTTATAACACTCTGCTCTGACTAACAGAGCTAGCCAGCCAGCCCGAGATATGTATTATTAACCACAGTACACCTGAGAAAGTCTCAGAGCTGTTACATAGCTTCCTTGCAGTAACATAATTTGTAAATTGGATATCAGGTTTCACAGGGAGGTCTGTCTGACTCCACTGTCCCTGCCTATGCTGAACTGTCTGGGACTACCTCTGCAGTTCCTAACCTTGGTGGGCTCAGGGTCCCCTTTTTATAAAAAATTCTTTGCAAACCTCCTAGACATAGAATTTCAAATAAAATAAATACATTAAAAAAATAAAAGGACAATTAAAAAAATAAAATAAAAGGACAATTATTTAAAATAAAATATGTGTTACATATTTAAATACTCAGGCATGACCACATGGTTAAGTTATAATGAAGTCATTAAAGAAATGTACTTTCTTATAAAGAGTACATTTGGATTTAAGAAAATAAGGCAAAACTGAATTTTCTCTATATATGACATTTTGAAATCGGGGCTAAATTAGTATATTCAGATAGAATCACTGAGATGGGTTAGATTTTTGCTCAAAAATATTCACTCTCTTCCTTCCATCTCCACAGGGGAGTGTACTTTTACTTTTCTACCCATTCATTTTGGCCTTTGCAAAGTTGCTTGCTTTGGCACTTAGGATAATGGCAGACAAGACTAAAATAAGGCTTGAAATGTGCTGTGCGGGGGGTGGGGGGCGCTTGCTTTCTCTATGTGTTACATATTTAAATACTCAGGCATGACCACATGGTTAAGTTATAATGAAGTCATTAGAGAAATGTACTTTCTTATAAAGAGTACATTTGGATTTAAGAAAATAAGGCAAAACTGAATTTCTCTTATGTACTTTCTTATAAAGAGTACATTTGGATTTAAGAAAATAAGGCAAAACTGAATTTTCTCTATATATGACATTTTGAAATCGGGGCTAAATTAGTATATTCAGATAGAATCACTGAGATGGGTTAGATTTTTGCTCAAAAATATTCACTCTCTTCCTTCCATCTCCACAGGGGAGTGTACTTTTACTTTTCTACCCATTGATTTTGGCCTTTGCAAAGTTGCTTGCTTTGGCACTTAGGATAATGGCAGACAAGACTAAAATAAGGCTTGAAATGTGCTGTGTGGGGGGTGGGGGGCGCTTGCTTTCTTTTGCTTTGGCCATTAAAAAAATAAAAAAATAAATGCTTCTCCCAAGTGTCTGCAGCCCCCTCATCCTGGGCCCCACAATGAGGCACATGGAGCAGACCTGGGCCCAACCCAAGCAAGGAGCAAAGCCTGGCTGATCATGCTTGAAGCAGAATTGCCCAGCTGAGCCCAGCCTAAACCAGCCAACCTCCAGCTAACCCACTGATACATGGGGAGGATAATTACTGTTTTGTTTTGGAATGGTTTGTTACACAGAATTGACGACAGAAACAATTATGAATGTAATGGCTATAGATGCAGATGATACAAGTGGACTATACTGGGAATTCAGATACCATGAGCCATGTTGCTATTGGTCATGTGATTTTTTTTTTTTTTTTTCTGGACAAAACAGTAAAATTTTCCTTTGAAATATACACTAATTGCATTCCTGGAATATTCAGATATATTAAAACTTTGTGTAAATCAAAGTTAGATTCTATAGGATCAAGTAATTATAAACAAGTTATTCATCTACGTAAATGTCTGTCCAAACTCTAAAATGTGTGGGACTGTCCTAACCATTACAGGTCATTTGGCACTCAGCCTTGTCCCCCATCCCAGAAGTGTCCCCCAATCATTGTGAAAGCCAAAGACACCTTCACACATTCCCAAACTGCCTCTTAGGAGGTGGCACGAGATGACTTAGTGGTCCCTTCCAGCTCAAATGTTCTCAGATTTTAAAACTGATTATATTTGCTATTTAATATGTATTAAATATCTACAATGTGCCAATAATATTGATATAGGAAAAACACAAACTACTGCTCTCAAAGGGCTTAAAGCATAGAGGGGAGCACTAGCCAGCAATTAGGCATTTAGGATGTAGAGTGATAGTTAATACACTGTTGTGCATTCAGAATGCTAAAGTGCACAGAAGAGGAGTATCTAACCCAATCTTGGGACTCAGGAAAGGCTTTACCAGAGGAGGTTATGTCTAACCTGACCTGAGGGGTGAACAGATGTTAACCAAGCAAATGGAGGGTAAGAGGTGGGACAGAGGAGAAGGAGCAGGCTGCATGCTCAATCCCATAGAGTAAGGGTCAGTATGGTGTATCTGCTGAGACTGCAGAAGAAGCCATGAGCATTGGACTTGGGTAGATCTTGTTTCAAATTCTGGCTCAGCTTCAATCTTGAGCCATTATAATAACTAAACTTTATTAATTGCTTATGTTCCAGGCACTGTGGAAGTGCTTCACATGGATTTTCTTTTAATGCTCCCACCAGTACCTTAAAAGTGTAGGTACCATGATTATCATCTCTGTGTTACAGAATAAGAAACTGAGGCACAGAAAGGTTAAGTAACCTGCCTAAACTAAGAAGTGGTAGAACAAGGATTAGAACCAAGAGAATCTGTCTCCAGAACCAACATTCTTCACCACTGCCCTAAACAGCCTAACCTCTCTCTTCCTTGCTTCCTCATCTGTATAATGTGTACAACTCTAGCTTCTGTGAATTGATATATGGATGAAATGGCTTATATATTTAAAGCACCAGACACATTGGTAGAATTTTCAAAAAAATTATAGTTACTATCCAAGTTTTAATCCTTCTCTTTTTAAGGGAAGAACATCACAATTTGGAGAGTATAGAGTGCATATAATTTTAGTTACAAATAGCTTTTTTTTTTGACCATTAACTCCCTCTCCCAAGCCTATATTGAGATTAAGTTTTGTTGCATATAACAGAAAACACAAAATACAAGTGGCTTAAACAGACAAGGGTTTATTCTCATGTAAAAGAAGTTGAGTTTGGCAGTTTAGTTCCTCCTATTTTCCCGGCTTCTGGCTCAAGGTTACCTCATGGTCCAAGATGGCTGCTGGAGCTTCAGTCATCACATCTGCATCCATGCAACAGGGATGAGGAGGGAAAAAAGAATAAGAAGATAAACCTCCTAGTCATTTCCTTTAAGGAGGCTTCTCTGAAGCCCCATGCAGGACTTCTGCTTAAATCTGGTATGGTGAGCAGGCAGCTCACAGCCTATGACTGACTGATAGAGGGGTACAAAAACTCCCAGCCTCAAAGCAAACAATGCCACAGTTCTTTATGCACCAGAGCTCCCTGTGCTATCAGGCTGAGGCTAGAAACCACATCTGCAGCTAAAAGCACATCTCTGCCTTGCTTCTACCCCTGCTGTCTCCAACTTCCCTTACTTACTTATAGGTTTCTCCTCCAAAAAGGACTTGCAGAAGAATCTCCATCCCAGGCTCTGCTTCTAGAAACCCAACAATATGTTACTTTTCAGCCAAAATCTACCTCTTTATAATCTCACCCAGGTTCTACTGTGTTGAGCAATCCAGGAAAAATGAAAATCTCTCCTATAATAGTACTTTTATATATTTGAACACAGCTTTAAAATAATAATTTAATAACTAATATTACATCTTATTGGGCTGTTAACAAAGTGCTCTTCCATGCATTTTCTCATGTATTCCAACACCCCACTCCTTGAGATGGTAGATATTGTAATTTTTACAGATGAGGAAAGAAGCTCAGATAGTGACTTCTCCAACGTCACTTGAAAGGTAAGTGGCAGAGCTGGGGTTTGGTGAATGACAAAGCTGAGCTCTCAGAGAGGAAAACTAAGTTGGATTAGTTTCCAAAGTGCCACAAACTGGGTGGCTTAAAACAACAGAAATGTATTTTCTCACAGCTCTGGAGACTAGAGTTCTGAAATCAAGGCATCAGCAGGGCCATGCTCTCTCCGAATGCTCTAGGGAGACTTACCTTTTAGCTTCTAGAGACCTTCTAGAAGCTTCTAGAGTCCTTTAGCTTCTGGTGACTCCAATCATTCTTTGGCTTATGGATGATAACTCCAATCTCTGCCTTCTTCTGTCTTCACATGGCCTTCTCTGTGTGTCTCTCTGTCTTCTCCTGTACTTATAAATACATTAGTTATTGGATTTAGGGCTCACCCTAATCCAACATGATCCATCTCGATCCTTAACTATTTCTGCAAAAAAATCATCTCCAAGTAAGATAATGCTATGAGGTTCCAAGTGGACATGTATTTTAGGGGGACACTATTCACCCTGCTACATGTGGAATTCTACTTTTTACCAGATTTATTTATCTCAAGGCTTCATTTCTATGTGTTTACAAGGAGTGGTCACTTTCACACACATAAATGCATGGGGTCTCCTGCACTCATTCCCAGCTTTCACACCAGTGGGGACAGCTCCTTGAGGGCCGGTGGAACACCTTCTGGCAGCAGAGTTCCATGTCCACAGGTCTTCACTGGCTTCTCAAAGGTCCCCTCCATACGGGCTTCTGTCCAACAGCAGAAATGACCAGTGAATCTCAACAGCTTAACAAAAGGTGTCTTTCATTTCAGGGGGTTTGGTTCTGCAGTGATGTTGCTGTTATTCAAACATCCAAGAAAAGCTACACAGATTTGCATCCAAGTCCTTCCCCAGCCAAATTTTCACAGTTAAAGCTTTCAGGGGGGAGGTTTGGTGATCTTTACTCTCAGAAGTTAGAGAGAGAGAGAGAGGAAATCAAGGGGGCTTCATGACTATCTCAACAGGGAATTAGGATCCAGAAGCAGAGGGCAGAGACTGCCATGGTAAGGTCTTTTTTGTTGCTGGTCTCCCCTGACAGCTTTCCCCTTAAAAAGAAATGGGTTTGGGTGCTTACATAAGGGCAGAAGACAAAAGGCAGGAGAGACCCAGGTTCCTGGTCCAGAGATGATGGAGGGGAGGCTAACAGGCAGATCCACGGGGAGTGTGGCAGGGAGAATGGAGGTCAAGGCTAGTTGATCCTGAGTGGAAAAGGGTTTCAAGGTATATTGATGGACAGATACATCCATCCAGTATTACGGCTGCAGCCACAGAGCTTTAGCATTCTTGGTCGTGAGTGGCAGAACCAACCCCATCTCAAACTGGCTTAAGGAGACAAAGGAATTTATGACTCATGTACCATAACTGAAAACTTCCAGTATGGCTGGATCTAGGTGCTCACATGCTATCCTCACATACTCCTGTCTCCTAGTTCTGCTTCCCTCTTATTGGCTTCATGCTAAAGCAGGTGCTCCTCAAGGGATAGGCAACAATGCCAGCAGCCACTGTGTCACCCAGGGAAGAGTGCTTCTATGACAGACTGCATCATGGGGCCCCATTCTTCACCCCTTTCTGATTTACACCCTTTGCCATGTAACTGCAATGCTTGGCCTCATGACTTGCTTGAGCCAAAGGAGTGAAGTGGAAGTGACAGTGTACATTTTCAAGTCTGGGTCTCCCAAGCTTGTCTGTTTCTGCTAACTCTTGTGTGTCTGCTATTCCCATGAAAGAGATATGCCCAGGCTGGCCTGCTGGTTTCAGGAGAGGATGAAAGACATGGAACAGAGCTAAGTTACTCCAGCCAAGGTGAACCTGGATCAGCCAAATACTAGATGCGTGACCTAGCACAGGCAACACTGGAGATCTAAACCCCTCAGATATATGAGAAATCAACATTATGGATGCCACTGCAATGATAAAATCTTACTACTACAGCTTCTTTCTTAGCAGTTCTGGCTATTGTTCTTTGTACCTCTCAAACTACATGGGCTAAAATTGGGGACAGTTGGCTTCCCAAAGGAAAAGTAGGGTTCTGTTACCAGAAGATAGAGAAGATGGTCAGGCATCACTATAAAATCCTTCTCTGGCTTCAACCATTTTTTCTGAAGGAGATTGGGAATTGAAGGTTTTCAAGACACTTATTCTATTAATAAAGTCAAAAGATGAGGTTTCCTGACCTCTATAGGAAGCTCACCAGTTTGTCCAGACCCTCTGCTGGAGACGTTGCTGAGTTCAAGCAAGTCATAGCAGCATTAGGATCCTGCTCTGTGTGATGGGAGGTGTAATCTATCCCGGTGCTCAGGCCTCTAGGGGGCTATTTTCAGTTCTGCTTCTGATTTCTTTTCAGAATCCCGCTGGGTCTTTCAGCATGTCTCTGCTCAAGTATTTTCCTCACAAAGAACACCATCAAGCAATAAAATGAAACATTCATAACTTATTAGTCATATTTATGACCCCCCCTTAGCAAATATTCAACATAGGCTATTTACCATATATATCTGAATATAAGGTGAGATTGTTTTCTCCCCAGTGTTATTCCTCAGAAAGTGGGAACTGCCTTACTCCTGAAACCTTCAACTTCTCTCACATTATGAGGTGCTCTCTCATTTATCTTATTTGCATCTGTCTTTATTGTACTGTTACTGTTTGGGGAAGCTTATTAGTAAAGGCTACAAATCTATACTGGTTTAGGCTGTTTATACAGGCCACCTCACAGAATCACTTATTGGAAAGAGAAAGAAAAAATATAAATTCAGTAACTATTTCTGGTTTTATGATTTTACAAATTGAATCACAAATTTTATAAGAAGTCTTCTAAAGATCACAAAATTGTATATATGAAACAAAATTTTAAAATAAAAGAGCTAATGTTAATGTAAGTGATTAGTTAGGTCTTGAGACAAAATTTCCAAAAGTATCATCATACATGGATCCAGAAAGTTTCCTGTCTCAAAACATGTAGAAGTGCATGGGAACTTGTGCTGGACAACTTGAGAAAGGGCACTATTAATCAAAGACAGATACTACAGGCACAGGTGGAGAATTTGACTGAAACCATTGCATGAAATGTGAATGTAAAAGTGCAGTGTTTCTAAATTAATATTCCATGATACTAAATGTGTAATGTTAAATATGTGTGTGCACCATAAATTCTTTAAATAACATTAGGAGACATTTGGCTGTTTCATCTGCAATCATACGTGTGTGTATGTGTCTTGATTGCTGTGGCTTGAAATTGAGCAGATTGATTTCTCTTTATTATTTTTCAAAATTATTTTAGCTATTCTAGTTCCCTTGCTTTCCATGTAAATTTTGGAATAATACTGTCTATATCTACAAAAAATCTGGCAGAGATTTTGGTAGAGATAGTGCTAAACCTGTATAAGCACTAAACCTGAAGAACTGACATCTTTACTATGTTATCTTCCAATTCATTAACACAATAGGTCTCTGCTTTTATTTAGATCTCCTTTAACACATGTAGTTTTCGGCATACAAGCCCCATGTATGTTTTGTTAGATTTACACTTATTTGAGCAATTGTAAGTGGTATTCTATTTTTAATTTTAGTGTTCACGTCATCGTTGCTGGTATATAGAAATCCAATTAATTTTTGTATGTTTATCTCATATCCTGCAACCTTGCCAAACTCGGTTTAAACTGGAGGGGTTGTTTTTGTTTTTGGTAGACTCTTTGGAATTTTTTATATAGACAATCATGTCATCTGAAAATGGGAGCAGTCTTATAAATGTTAATGGTTATGCAACTGTAATGTGCAACTATGTACACTGTCCAGAAGTCAAAGGATGACACTGTAACTGTGACTTTGAAAACAAGAAGGTGGTTCTATCTGCGGCAGCTATTTCAGCTATTTGTCAGTTGCTGTTGGTGGTGATACTGCCTTTTGGACCTACAATCTGACCAAATCTTTGTTCCAGAATCATCTCGTCTCCTGGCTATATTCTTATGAAAGGAGGGTGCTTACAGGCTCTGAGGGTGAGGCAGATACAGGCGAGACCAAGGCACAGGTCCAACATGTGGCGGGAGAGCCCCACCACTAGGGGCCGCTTAGAGGAAGCCCCGGGCGGGCGGGGATTGCGTTCCGGGGCGTGGCCTCCGCGGCGGCTGCCCGCCCCCCGCACCTCCTAGACGCGCGGGGGCGCTGTGGATTCTCATGGATTGCGCGTCGCTCCTTTCAGCCTCCTTGGTGCGGACTGAGACTTTCAGGACGGCGGCGGGAAGATGGCGGCCCCCACGGAGAGTTTTGGAGCAGTGGAGGCAGAGGGGAGCGTGGGGCGCCGGGGGAGCTCCGCGGTGGAGGTGGTGCTTCCGTCGGATCCCACCGTTTCCGCCCCGTTGTGCCCTCACGGTGCGTCAGCGTCCGGGCTCAGCCTGGCCGTCGGGCGCCGAGGGCGTGCGTTGGCCTGGAGGTTCCTTGGGCTTTCAGGGCTCCCGACTTTTTATCTGCCCCTCACCTCACCACTTGCGATGCCTGCAAGATGCCCTTTCCTCGAGACGTTTCAGCTTACTCGAGAAACTCTCAGAGTTCCCACTGTTGTCGTTTTGGTTCCAGGGCTGTTCCATCTCTTTTTCGTGGGAGGAAGAGGTAGAAGACAAAGGGGAGGATGCATGGTATTGAATCACTCCCGTTGATAAGTATTTAGGGATTTTATTTGTTGATTTGCTGTCTTTTCAATACACACACACAAAAAAGTTAGGAAGAACGGTAAAATGAGTTCTTGCCTGGAAACTAGACCTAATTTTTCTAACTTGCAGCAAGAGGGTGTGTCCAGTACTAAAAGCTCAGGTTTTCACTGAAAGGATAGCTGCTCGGGAGATGGCAAAGTGCTCTCCTTGTTTTAGTCTCAGGAGCCAGGTTTGTAGCATTCACAATGTAGACAGCAACTATAGTGACAGGGCATTTTCTTCTTGGAGAGACCAGTTTTCAAACATTATTCCTACAGAGTCTGAATGTTGTGACTGACAGAAAAAACGCTTATTAGACAGAGTGGTGGGTTTAATTATGACAAATTGTTTATAAAACCAAAGCAAGTTTTATATAAGGACAACGAAAACTGGAAACTTGATGTAGATGACTATTGTTTGACGTGTTTTTTCCTTTTCTGTAACTAGGACCCACTCTTCTGTTTGTAAAAGTGAGCCAAGAGAAAGAAGAAAGGAGGAGGTTTTATGCCTGCTCAGCCTGTAGAGATAGAA